AAGTCAGCAATGGAGGATGTCAGTGAGCCTCCAGTGGCTACACAAAGTTTGTGGGGTGGGGGGTGGGGGTGGGGGGGGAGCGATCACTGATGTAAGGAGGAATGTATAAACTAAGGTAAAGCCTGGTACACAAGACCCGAATATCCACTGCTATCGGCCGGTTCAACAGAAACCGGCCAACATCCGGCCTGAGTGTACAACAGCCTGACCGACAGAAGCTGGTCAAATGTCCAGCCTCTGTGGAATGTCATGCCAGAAAAACATCTGCCAATCTGCATCTGGAGTGTGTCAGAACATAATAGGTCAGCAGAGAGATCCTTGTACTAAAAATCAAATTGTTAGTACAGCGTCCTCCTCCGAGCACTCACTTTGTGAGTATATTTCCTTAATAATAAAATTAGTCACTATTTATTTAGGTAATGCGCAAGGTTTGTGCGCTCTTTCTTTCATCTTCTTCTACTGCATTCCCCCTTACATCAGAGTCCTCAGAGTTCTCCTTTACATCATGGTCCGCATAGTTTTCGTTTTACATCAGGGTTCGCAGAGTTCTCCCTTGCACTGTAAAGGGGAACCCTACAGGTTCTGATGTAAAGGGGAATGCTGTGCTGGGTTATATTAACCTGACCTTTGTGTAAATGGAGAAATATGTTTTTTGCCATTTTTATACCTTAAACACATTGCTAATAGCACTGGCTACATGTTTTGCACTGAACCCTGTCATTTTATGGACTTTTTTGAAGTGCCAGTAAAAAAATGTGGTTCTGTCAGTAAATTTCATGATTTTTGTCATTAAAAAACTGGCGCTGTCAGTAAATTTTTGGCATCCTGTCAGTAAATTTCACTTCGGAAGACTGGCAACACTGCTGCCTTTACAAGCAATGATGAGCTGCAGGTAAAATACAAAGAACTGAAGAACATCTATTTTACAATCTCTTCTCTGTAAACATTGTAATCTCCAGCAGTCTGACGAGTATTCTATACAGTGAGGAGTGGAAAGCGTAGTGGTAGTGTAAGTTAATACATGTAGGAAGTGTGTACATAGGAGGGGCCTGAGTCTCCACTACTAGATCTTACACAGAAGACATGTTAATAACTTCTGCCTGCTGCTCCTTTACCACGTTCTGCTAGATCATTCTCACTATTTGCTGCTTACTGTATCTGCTGCCATATGCTTGATGGTATTGAGGGTGAATATTCACATTACTGGTAAGTAAGAAGAATTCTACGTTTAGTGTATTGTGTTTAGATTAGACTGCTTTATATGTGTATTGTTACTGTAAGGAGAGACAGACGTCACCAGTTGCAACATTTTTAAATATCTTCTGATGAAGGACCCTTTTCCTGGCATACATGATTTCCTTTCCTGTTGTTCAAAACGTTTTACCTATTTCTTCAGAATTATGGCTACGTTCACGTGAACAGCCAGGGGCACATAGTTTGCTGCATTCAACTATGCACCTGGTGCCCAACCTGCTTCCCCTTTGCACTTTTTGTCCCGCCCTCAAGGCCCCTGTAGACACTAGTTTGTTTTTCCCTATTGTCCTTTTATAGCAATGATCCTAAGTGCCGGTTTCACATGTATATGGATTGGATGTGGTTTGAACCGCATCCAATCCGCATGACATGTGAAATAACATTACTTCCTATGGTGCCTGTTCACATATGTCCAGTGCACTGGCAGTGCGGATTCAATGCGGATTGAAAAAGAGTGTTGTACGAGTTCTGAATGGTTCAGGTGTGGATTACAGGCTATTGACTTGTATGGGAACTGTTTCTACACCACACGTGTGAACAGGATAAAATCTTGACCTAATCCTGTCCTGAACCTAAAGTAAACCTGACCTGAACCACTGAACAACTGTGTCAATTAGCTGTAAAACCTGAGCTTCAATTCACACCACATGTGTGTGAATCAGTTCTAACAGTCTCATGTAATATGTGTCCTGAAGGATGTTCACGGGTTCTGACAATCTCCTGCATGTCTACAGTCTCTGACCATCTCTGATATCATGTCCACAGTCTTTGACCATCTCTCAAATTATGACAGCAGTCTCTGACCATCTGTCCTATCATGCCTGCAGTCTGTGACCATCTCTCATATCATGTCCGCTGTCTCTTACCATTTCTCCTATCATGTCTACAGTCTGTGACCATCTCTCAGATCATGCTCACAGTCTCTGACTATTTCTCACATCATGTCCTCTGTCTCTGACCATCTTTCATATCATGTCCACTGTCTCAGACCATCTCTCATATCATGTCCACAGTCTATGACCGTCTCTCAAATTATGACAACAGTCTGTGAGCATCTCTCCTATCATGTCTGTAGTCTGTGACCATCTCTCCTATTATGTCCACAATCTTTAACCATCTCTCAGATCATGCCCACAGTCTCTGACCATCTCTCATATCATGTCCGCTGTCTCAGACCATCTCTCATATCATGTCCACAGTCTATGACCGTCTCTCAAATTATGACAACAGTCTGTGACCATCTCTCCTATCATGTCTGCAGTCTGTGACCATCTCTCCTATTATGTCCACAATCTTTAACCATCTCTCAGATCATGCCCACAGTCTCTGACCATCTCTCATATCATGTCCTCTGTCTCTGACCATCTCTGATATCATGTCTGCTGTCACTGACCATCTCTCATATCATGTTCGCAGTTGGCGACTGTCTCTCTTATCATGTCTGAAGTTTATGATCATCTCTCATATCATATCTGCAGTCTGTGACCATCTTTTGTATCATGTCAGCAGCCTCTGATCACCTCCTGTGTTATGTCCACAGTCTTTGGCCATTTCCCATATCATGCCCATATTCTTATGGACTAGACTATATCCTGCTGGGTGTCTGCCCCTGAACTTTCACTGAAAAGTCTCTGACACTCCACATTCACTGAATTTTATATGCAGCCATTTGGTTATGTGGAGGGCCGCAATTGAGACCCCTCTTATCAGGAAAGATGACCACCACTGAACATCACTCTGTACTATGGCTGCATACAAAGAGGCTGATCAGCTACAATCAGTTTGTGTGCGGCCAGAACGTCACAGAAGCACCATCCTTAGATACACACTGCCTGTCTCCAGGGTCAGTTGGAGAATCTGTTCACATTTAACAATTAAGATGAGTGGTTACATGTGGATAACTGAGCATTGGTTTGTACAGAGCCCAATCTGCTTACGCACAGTGTGTACAGGTAGCATTTATAACCGTTGACACAAATCTAATGATTTTCACCTGTGGCCGTTCTCTGGCTGACCCTGCACCCCCAACATTGGTAACCTGTCTTAGGTCCTATTGACAATTACACTGTCATACCTGCACTTATATGCATCTAAAGGACCCTTCTAAATGTATATATGTTGTAAATGTAATGCTTTTTGAATGGTGCCATTCACCGGAGAGTTTACTTGTGTTTAGGTGCAGTCAGTTTAACTGGATTGAGAGAAAGTAGAATTCTGTGCACCTAGAATCTAATTAGACACTCTAAACATGGCCAAACACATGTAGATGTGTCCACACATGGCTAAACCTGATTTAAAGCTGCAACATTTAAATGCAGGAAAAAGTGATTTGGGATACAATAACTTCTTGCAACTGCATGTACACATATATGTGGCCTTGCTGAAATGGGTCTTCTTCAAGGGGGCCGCATGTATGCACATGTGTGTTTGTGCTGGGAGTGTGATGCACAGTGCACTCCCAACATAGAGACCGGGTCTCGTACTAATGATCAGGACGCTGAAAGCACAGTTCCTGATCACCTGATCGCTACGATAGCCTCTGGTTGGCTATCACAACGATCAACCACTGTAAAGCACGCCACTGTGTGTGCTTCCGCTCTGAATGGAGAGAAAGACACTTTGGAGTTGATTTACTAAAGGCAACTAGACTGTGCACTTTGAAAAGTGTGATTGCACTCTGCAAGAGCAGTTGCTCCAGAGCCTAGTAAATGATCAGAAGCTCTGCTGACTTCCATCATCCAATCAAGTGCAAGAAAAAAAATGCTGTTTTTTATTTTCCTTGCACGTGATTGGGTATTCTTTGCAAAGTAAAGCTTTACCTCATTTACTATGCTCTGGAGTAACTGCACTTTGCAAAGTGCACAGTCAGGTTGCATTTAGTAAATCAAGCCCATTGCATCTCTCTTCTTGCCAGAGGAGAAAATGTAAATAAACAAATACAAAGGGAAAAAAAATGAGATTCAAGTGTTTCTAAAGGCTCAAGGTGTTTTAACTTTATGTATTCTATTGCAGAAGGTAAAAAAAACCTTCTGTGTGCGGCGCCCCCCCCCCAATCCTTACCTGAGCCCCCTCCTATCCAGCAATGTTCTCAACAGCCTCTGCTGTCTGGGGACTCCTCATTGGACTGAGACAGCAGCAGGAGCCCAGTGGTTCCCGCTGCTGTCATTCACAGTCAGTAAGCCAATGAGGAGAGAGTAGGGGGCTGGGCCGAGACGCTGCTCTGTGTGTCTTATGGATGCTTAGAGCAGCAGCCCGGGGACAAGCACGCAGGGTGATCTTCTTTCCCTGGGGACACTGCTCAAGGGGGAGGAGCCAGGAGCACCGGCGGGGGGCCCAAAAAGAAGAGGATCGGAGCTGCTCTGTGCAAAATCACGGCACAGAGCAGGTAAGTATAGGCATGTTTGTTATTTAAAAAAACAAAGCTTTATTGTCACTTTAAGGTTTGATTTAGGTCAGTGTCAGGATTAGAGTTAGGGTAAATGTCAGAGTCAAAGGCCAGGGGCAAGGCACATTTGCATCAGATGCAAAATAATTTTCATAGAGAACAAAAGAAAGCAAGTAAGAGATGTTCATTGTTGGGGTTTGCATACACTTTGAACTAAAGGCAACACTTTTTTATTTTGAAAAAAAAAGTAAGAGAGGGTTACAACCCATGGCAGGTGTTTGTTGCCATCTTTGTCCTATTGGGGAGATTTCCCTTCACTTCATGTCCCACAGCTAAAACAGGAAGTGAGAGGAAATCCTTTCAAAATGAGGGAATTCGAGATGGCAACCAAGGTCACCAGAACTGCTTTCCCCATTGAAAGATATCCTACTGTATATCTATTTATGTTCTGGTGACAACCTAAAATATGAGATTTACGTCTACTTTCAGTGATAACAGAGGTTAAGGGGTTAGCAGCACAGTGGCTAAGTGGTTAGCACTTCCACCTGGCAGCACTAGGATCATAGGGTTGAATCCCAACCAAGGCACTACCTGCCTTGAGTTTGCATATTGTTCCTGTATCACACTCCAAAGACATGCTGGGAGGTTAATTGGCTCCTGTCTAAATTATCCCTAGTATGTGTATGTATGAATGTGAGTTAGGGACTCTAGATTGTAAGCTGCTTCAGGGCAGGGACTGATATCATATTTGCCAACATTTCAAAACAGATTTTAGGGACACCTTTTTTTCTGTGTCCAGAAAGCCACTATAGGTGGAGCATTACTTAAGTTTGTTCATTCATTTATCATAAGTGTGGTTCTACAAGAAGTAGGCAGGGAAGTAGGTTTGGTTTAAATGATGCTACATATTGGGTGTGGCTTAAAGGGGGTGTGGTTGAATAGAGTTTGAGATGACTTAAATAGGGAATGTACAGTGCAGAATAAGGGGGCAAGATGCCATGTGTGAACCTTCCCCATGCCATAAAAGTTGCATAGTGCATAGAGTGGCTGGGTTGGCATAGTGGACCAAGATGACAACCCTAAGATTTCACCACCATTAAAAAAGTTAATAGGATAAGGAGGGGTGTTTCTCTTGTGCAATGTAGCCATGAGAATGGTACAAAGAGTCAATCTTCAACATTTCTATCTGGGAAACAACGTAGCTTATAACTCACAAGTGCAGATGCAATTCTACAATTCGTCGACTTTATGCCATTATATATCTACTTTCAGATCTATGGTGTTAAGAAACTGCATCTATGTTCATCTCTTACATACGATCCTATAAATACATGTACCAGTATACAGGGGTCATTAGTATGCAGAGCAGTGTACAGAGGTCAGTAGGGTGTAAAGCAGTGTACAGGGGTCAGTAGTATGTAAAGCAGTGTACAGGGGTCAGTGGTATGTAGGGAAGTGTACAGGAGTCAGAAGGATGTAGAGCAGTGTACAGGGGTCAGTAGTATGTAGGGCAGTGTACAGGAGTCAGCAGGATGTAGAGCAGCGTACAGGAGTCAGAAGGATGTAGAGCAGTGTACACGGGTCGGTAGGATGTGCAGCAGTGTACAGAGGTCAGTAGAATGTAGAGCAGTGTACAGGGGTCAGTAGTATGTAGAGCAGTGTACAGGGGGTCAGTAGGATGTAGGGCAGTGTACAGGGGTCAGTAGGATGTAGAGCAGTGTACACGGGTCAGTAGGATGTAGGGCAGTGTACAGGGGTCAGTAGGATGTAGAGAAGTGTACAGGGGTTAGTAGTATGTAAGCAGTGTACAGGGGTCAGTAGGATGTAGGGCAGTGTACAGGGGTCAGTAGGATGTAGAGAAGTGTACAGGGTTAGTAGTATGTAAGCAGTGTACAGGGTCAGTAGGACGTAGAGCAGTGTACAGGGGTCAGTAGTATGTAAGCAGTGTACAGGGGTCAGTAGTATGTAGGGCAGTGTGCAGGAGTCAGTAGGATGTAGAGCAGTGTACAGGAGTCAGTAGGATGTAGAGCAGTGTACAGGGGTCAGTAGGATGTAGATCAGTGTACAGGGGTCAGTAGGATGAAGGGCAGTGTACAGGGGTCAGTAGGATGTAGGGCAGTATATAGAGGTTAGTAGGATGTAGAGCAGTGTACAGAGGTGAGTAGGATGTAGAGCAGTTTACAGAGATCAGTAGTATGTACGGTGGTGTCCAGGGTTAAGTGGTATGTAGAGTGGTGTCCAGAGGTCTGTAGTATGTAGGTTTCAGCAGGGTAGAGGATTTTAATTAGCAGGGGATCAGCTCACAGATCCCCTTCTGATCGGAGCAGAGTAGGTGGATGACAGATCCTTGTCCCCTCAGTTTCTGCAGAGCGGACACAGTCAGACCATGGTGTGCACTATGGGTGGCTGGGTGCAAACTGTCCCTTTACACCTTATTGCCCTCTGATCTGCCTAAATGGAAGAGGAGGAATCACTTCTGTTTTTTTTTTTCCATAGACCTGATCGGACTGGAGGTAGGCGGTGTAAGTCTGATTACATCTGCCTGTCCATAGGGATGAATGGAGGGTCTGATCAAATCTGCCTCAAAATCTGACAGACAGATCTGATTGGGCATGCCATGTGAAAGGGGCTCAGGTCCTGTTCACATTAGGGGGTTTTGTATCTTGGGCAGAATTGCAGCAATTCTTCCCGAGAAACAAAACACCCAGATGTAAATGGGGCCTGAGGCTGCTTTCACACTGCAGGTCTGAAAACGCTCTGCAAAATTCATTTTTAAATGGCACTTATATGTGGCGCAGTTCTGCTGTGATTGTCATGCGATAAATTGTGGCAAACCGTATTGCGTAAAGCAAATCGCCCAAAAGAAACTCCTGCTCCTTTTTAGGCAACAAGCTTCATGTGATGTGGTTTGCCGCCATTGTAGCGTGATTTATCGCCCCTTCAATCGTGGTATAACTGCACTGCATTCAGGTGCCATTGAAAATAATAGCACTTGAATACATATGGTGCAATTTATCATTTTTGCAGAGCGTTTTGGGATCACGAACAGAATTGTGCTAATTCTGCCCCAGATACAAAACACTCAGATGTGAATTGGGCCTTAAAGATGGCGTCAGCAAGCAGTGACTGTGGGAAATTGGTTTTAAACTACATGGTCCAATTTCTCACAGCTAGGACAGTGCTACATGAAAAAGGAGATACCATCTTTGTCAGCTACCAGAACTGCACTTTTTTACTTAAAAATTTTAAAAATGTACTAAAAAGTTAGATAGAAGTAAAAACGGGGGTGGATGCTGTTAGCTGACAAAGATGGTATCTCCTTTTTCATATAGCAATGTCCTGACTGTGAGAAATTGGACAGTGTTCTTTGTAAACCAATTTCTCACAGTCACTGCTTGTGCTACATGAAATAAAAGAGAGAGATGCCCATTGCAGACTTTTCTCACTTCTGCAATAGGACCTGTAAATCCCTAGCACCGGCACAGAGCTTACCTCCATTGCCGACACTTCACCAGTAGAATGAAAGGGGGCCTGGCTCGATTATCTCTGAGCTGGGCTGAACCCCTTTCCATCCACTCACACCGCAAAGCCTCTCTACCTCGGGGATGCTGGAGTCCTCAATGACAGCGCTGAACTGCTTGGGGAGGAGGTTGGGGAGGAATGGGTCTCCAACATGTGTCCCTGTGTAATGCATGTGAATAAAGTCCACAGAGCTGAGCTATAGCGCCGGCCACCAGCCCGCAGGCAATCCATTATAACAGAACCCACTGGCTGTTGTCTGACTGGCCAGGACTGGTTAGATTTCCAGGATGAAGCCCAGGACAAAGATGTTTCAGGACATGCCTTTCATATCCGTGACTGTCTTGGGCAATTCGTGACAGTTGGCAACTATGTGATATGAATTTTCAATATATATGTAAAGCGCTGCGTAAACTGGTGGCGCTATATACTGTAAGTACCTGTAATAAATAAATAACAGTAAACAGGATATCAGAGAGGGGGAATCTTCCTAATGGGGGCACAGGCAGCAATAAAATCTTAACAGGTGTTTTAATCCCTCTCCACTGTATCCAAAATTAAAAAAGAAAGTTTTGCTTTTAGTTATACTTTAAGGTACTGTATACACTTTAGTAATAGCTCCATATGTGCTCCCCCACTTTCCCGTAAATAGTTTTACCTAATCATGACAGGAATGTGTGACATTGTTAATAAACTGCATTTCCGTTTCTGCTCAAACTGCACAATAGCTTTTTTAGATATGTTTCCTTTTTAAGAAACCTAGGCACATTTTCATCTAAATAGCATAAAGAACTCCACCCAAGCTTAGAATTCAACCAGAAATATAATATCTGTACATTTATGCTCCTTTGATTATGCAGGTAATAACATGTAATCATGAAAATTCCCCTTTGGTTTGTCTCATGTATCTGTTGATCCTGCCAGTGCTTCTTGGAATCATGAACTTCCTGTAGGGGGCAGTCAACAATGACGTTGTGCTGCTGAATTGGTCACAGCGATGTCGGCCCTCCACTCTGGGTCTCTACAGTACAGTGGTGATGTTATCAAGCCGGCTCCCTCACCCTGGAGGTGTTGTCGTCTTCAAGAATTAGTTCTACCTCCAGGATAGCTGTATTTAGCACTGATTAAAGAGAGAGAGAATCAGTGGTTACTTTCATTTTCTGAAAATGTTATTGCGCGTTTAAGGGCTCTTTACAATTTTTTTTTCCCATTTTCAGGCGGACCCGATCAGAACCTCCATTCTCCTCTCTGGAGCGGTGGTGTAATTGGACATGTGTCCTGTCTGTTTACACCCGCCAACATCCAAGCAGATCTGCCAAAAAGGGGGACGGATGGGGATCCAATACTCCATCCGTCCGTCGGATTGGATCGGATGAAAATGGACAGGCGCACCGTTTTCATCTGACCGCCCATTGAGGAGAGCGAGCAACTCTGTGTCTGCTCTGCAGCAGCGGAGGGAACATGGAGCTGTCATCCACTTGCTCAGTGGGGATCAGTGGAGAGATCCGCTTGCTCAGCGGGGATCAGTGAAGAGATCCCCCGCTGAACAAGCACATCCGCTATACAGGTCAGTCCCGTGTGAAAGAGCCCTAAGTGGTTCTTCATGTTACACTGACGTAAATCTGAGTGATTACTGACAGCTCGGACATGCTGCATGAATGAATATTTAGTGATAATACCAAATTCTTAGGGCCCAGTCACATTGTGTGCAGCTCAGATTCCTGCATTTTTTTCTCACTGAATGAATGCAGGCAACTACAATGACACATAGAAAACAATACTTTTCTATGTGTCATGTTCACACTAGAATGCAGAGTTACAGAGATGTGTGTTAAAATGAAGCATGTTTGCATTTTTTGCACAGGAATGCACAAAAATGTGTATAAATGCACCACAATACATCCCTCATCTACAACTATGCAGAAAAACACACATAAATGCAGAGAACCGCATGTGACTGCAGGCCAACAGAGAAGCGTTTTTATATGCATTATAGTTTATTCGGGCCCCTAAAGGCATTGTTACCCTTCCTACCTGTGCTATGTGTTTTTTATTTGCATAAAATGTGCGTTGATCCTGTAGTTTCAAGGCAAGATTTGTTGCCCTGCATGCAAAGCCAATAGCAGAGTAAATCTTCACATTCCTGTGTCGCCATTTTTGTTTGTGTTAAAACATGTGGCAAGTGTCATGGCACTGTACAAGGTTAATGCATGATCTCTCTCTGTAGTCTGAGAACTGACACTTACTATGTAGACACTAAATATCCCACAATGCCTGGTTCTCTCAGTCTAGTGCTGTTGCTGGTGAAAGCTGCACATTAATTAAATCTCACACTAGCACAAACAGAAGGAGCATTTACACACACACAGAGCTCACCATGCAGCTGGAAGATGTTTTTATTATATCTGCACTCCCACATTTGTGATGGAACACACAGCAGATGGCAAGGCATGCATTGGATGCTGCATGATCCAGAAAAGGAAATTGGATTATCCCTCTGGTGATTAGGAACAGGCTAGGTGAATGAATACATGGGCAGAAGGGAACTGATCAGTTATAACCCCACGAACCACAGTCACAACTTGTGAGACCATCATTACAAGGTAAGGTTGTCTGTTTCCCTGTTAGGGAGATTAACCCTCTCTATTTTCCCTGGTGACCATTATCAATGAAAGTAAAAGTTAAAGAAAATCCCAAACTTTGATTTGTCCTCAGAACAGGAATAGATGAAAATCTTCCAATGAGCACTAGTTCTGTGACTAACAGAGATTTCTGCACTCAGGAGGGATTTCCTCTCACTTTCTATTGTGGCTATGGGACAAAAAGTGAAGGGAAACCTCCCCAATGGGACACAGATAGTCAAAAATCTAACAGAAGTTATAACAGTGGTGGTCGAAGTTTTTTATATGGGGCCTCACGTGCAGCCCCCCGACATCATCAAAGAACTGCTCATAAAATTCAGTTTTATCTTCCTTCGGGGCAGTAACACACTCTTAGGGCATGTTGTGTCCTCACTACATGTTTCCTTGTGTGTAACTCGACAGGCAGCTAAGCGCTTCTATTCTGCAATAAGCCAGATTGAATGTAATCTCGAAGCTTTATTGCCAAAACAGGGTGGGGTGAAACTATTAGGAAAAACAGAGTATATCATATATATATTTATTTATGAAATATACAAACACAATGAAATGTTTAAGCTGTGGATGGCAATAAGTCCATGCTCATCTGTGCTGCTGCCTGTAGGGGATGTAGGTTTAGTCAACATTATGTGCTCCAATGGCTGGTTCTTTCTCTTTCAGTTTCTAAGATGGAGTCTGAGCTCCCAGGATGTATCCTTTCTCTCAGAATGATGGGGATTTTTATTAACCTGTAGCTCTTATCTAAACAGTCTCTTGTTTCTGTAAAACAGTAAATTTATTGTGGGCTCCATCTAGTGGCCAAATTTAATGGCATAATGAATTTCCCTGCTGAAGGCAGAAAGTGGTGTCTTCCCTCTGCATGGAAGAGCAATGGAGACACCCTATGGATATTAGCATTGTTAACTTGGGGAGAGGGTAGTGTTAGATATAATAGCAAATTTAGATGGACTTGACTAAAAAATTAAAGCCAAACTCCAGCCCAGGGGCGGACTGACAACTCATGGGGCCCCCAGGCAATAGGAGATCATGGGGCCCCTGTGTCCTTGCCCAAACTCAAAAAAGCCTATGAAAAAGGTACCAGGGGCATCTCATGGGGCCCCCTACTGACCCCGGGCCCTCGGGCAGTGCCCGAGTTTTCAAATGGTCAGTCTGCCCCTGCTCTCCAGCCAACACTAAGCAGTTAAGGCAACTTTCTTTCTGGGATAAATGTTTTGTATAATGTAATAAAATCTGACCATTGTAAGCAACCTCATCAGTGTTAAATGGTTTGTCTCAGCCCTTTAACTGCTGATTTGTCTGGACAGCTTGGTCTGTTCAAGGAAGTTGAAAAATAATAGACTTACTGGCTGGATCACTAGGTTAAAAAAAGAAAAAAAAAGAAAACTAATTCAACATCACATTTAAGTATTAGTAAGCTGCAATATATTAATTTTGTTTTTATTTAATACTGCTTTAAGGGTCATCAATTGTTTGAATGAGTTTTAGTAACTTATTAGATCTGAATATCTATACTGAAGCTCGAACCAATGTGCAGATAGTATACACAATCCACTAACCAGATTGTCCATGTAGGCAGGGTGTAAGGCATCCTAAAGTGAACTCTGGAAACTTTGCTCGCTAATACCCAACTATGCAGGCAGTAGCCTCGGTCATGAGAAATCTGCATTAAGGTGGCACTCCAATTTTAGAAGTGAGCACAAGTCGTGGCACAATTAACTCTTTGTGTCTCATCCACTTCAGAGCAGCATTACATTTGACCAACTGTATACAGTCTTCCTTACATGGTGCAGCATTTGTGAGGGGATACCGAGAAGCTTGTATCCCGCTCTCCAGCCTAGGTTTGATGTCACCTCACTCCCAGTGACATGCTATTGAGAATACTTCTCACACATTCTTCCCTGTGACATGCAGCTAGATACATAGGAGTTCCATGATGCTGGTCCGGTCCCAGGTATGGGGCACTGGCCACTAGAGAGGTAGTTCCACAAAGAAACCCCCTCACTACTTGAGCGCACCATCATCCTTGGCTAGTCACAATGTACACATGACGGCTGGCAGCTTAAAGTGGAGTTCCACCCAGAAGGGGAAGTTCCACTTTAATGACTGGTCTCCCACTCTCCATTAAGGATTGGCACCTTTGGGGAGTGGGTACCCGAAATTGACCGGTACCCGCTCCCACTTCCGCTGTAATCGTCTAGGCGATCGGAAGCAGAAGTTGTCCTCCTACCCTCCCTCCCTGTAGTCTTCTGGAACACGTGACAGGTCCCAGAAGACTACGGGGCTTCCAGAAGACTTCCATTCAGGAAGCGCAGCGCTACTTGCACACGTGCAGTGGCCACCCGGCTGTGAAGCTGCAAGCTGTCACAGCCTGGTGCCCACACTAAAGATACCAGCGCCTGGAACACAGGACGGCTGGTGAAACTAGCTGGGGGGAGGATACTATGGGATCGTGGGACAGGTGAGTGGCTGTTTTTTAAAAGTCAGCAGCTACAGTTTTTGTAGCTTCTGTCTTTTATTTTTTTACAGTGTGAGTGGAACTCCGCTTTAAGCACCAACCACTCTACTGGTTACTTATGGCAGTGGCACTTAGATATTTTACTTGCAACTTTCTCCGCTTGTGAACCTGTGGTAGTGCTCATCCCCTGACATAAGCCCTGTTCTTTTGATACACCATTATATGCACCCTTTGTTCAGACCAGGCATTTAGTAACTTCAATAACATTTACTGAAGCTTCTTTCAAGTACAGATCTAATAGAACACAGCCTCTCAGAGTTCCACTCAGACACAGTTCCATTCTAACTAATTTAAGTTGCCCAAAGCAAGGAAGAGTCCTCTCTAAGGTCTTAAATAAGACCCTAACCAAGAACAACTAATGGGGCTTTAGGAGTACCAAACCAAATAAATCAACATTGGTTATACAAAATAATATAAAGACAAACAATAAAATTGAACACCTTTTATTAGGTTAAAAAACCACAAACAGGTGGTGACCGTGAAACACATACATAGAAGATCATAAAATTCAATTGATGAAAGAGCCACAGTAGTTGCACTGATGTCCAAGACGCAAGAGGGTGTCATGGGCATCAGTTACAAATCGTCGATAGCTACAACCTCAAAGCATCAAGGCTAAATTGTGAATAGTTGCTGACACCTAATCAATGGTGTTGCATCATAGGTGGCAATTGACATAATGGTACATAGCTTCAGCCTAGAAACATAAATTGGTACTTAGTTGGTATTTCGACACCTAGAAGGATGGTGTCACATCGTAGGTATCAATAAACATATTAGTACATAGCTTCAGCTTAGAACCACGAATGAGTACTTTGTTGATATTTCCAACGTGTTTCACGGGACAATGCCCGCTTCTTCAGGGAAAACAAAACACAAATTCCTACAATAAACTAAAATTATAACCAAAAGCATATAATCAATATATAACCATACAAAAAATTCAACAAAACAACACAAATAAAAGGCATTAACAGCAATTAGCAGTTGACGACACTGGCACGCTCCCAGATGGCCCATACAGAATACATAAGACATGTCAATCGTATCTGGATGGAAAAAAGGGGCCTCCAGCAGCTAATGAGGAATAATTGTCAGTCAAGAGATCTAAATCCACTTGTGAACAGCAGAACTGTCATTCTAAGAAATTACAAAACACGTGCTTTTTAATGCACGTCAAATGCATGTCAAATGTGCATAGGGCATTTGGGGAGTGGTTTTAACACACCTTTAACGAGCGATAAACGCATATCAGTCTCAACGAACAGCTCGTATTAACACTATAGGCATATTTGTTAAGCGACAGTATTTTGAGCAAGTGTGAACAAGGCCTTACAGTTGTTTGGAACAAGAAGTGCATGTTAGTTGCAGTCATGTGTACTGTTCTATGCACACTACAAATCCCATAGTCCTTGGCTGTTAGTTCATTCCAGCAAGAGAGGGTGGCTATGTTCATACATACAGTAGAGCCACAGAGAAGGAGCTTAGCCACAGCATTCAAATGTATTTTTTAAATGCAAGCAGTGTAAGTACCTGAATTTTACCTGGTATCGGCCTCTTGCAGTCCAATGTATTGAGGTGCTGCCATGTAAGAGCAGGAAGAGGAGTCAATTAGTTAATGCACTAACAAGAAGAATAATGATAGGAAAAGGAAGCAGAATGGCAGAGAGATGAGTTTGTCATTGTGCTGTTTCTACTTTCACTGTCCAGTCACAGAGCGAGGAGAGTTCAGAATAATCTGAACTCAGGGGGAGTGAATTGTATGATGCCGGCTATCAGATGGAGGACATTTAGTGGAAAAAAAAAGTACTGTGGGTAGTACATTAAATCAATCTCTGGTTTGAAGGTGAATATATCAACACATCCTGGTTATGTTATTTTATCTTTTAATGGACTATTTATTTTTATCTTTGTTTTTTCTGTTTTAAAGAAGAACTCCATGCAATGTTTTTTTCCCACTGCATGGGTTAACTGCTCGATTTTGTTTGGGGGATTGCAGAGTGGAGATATACATACTTATCTGCCAATCCTCTGAGTGCAAGACCGGTCCCCACCACTCCTGCCCTAGCACCTCCCCTGCAGGCTTGTGAATGGACTGTTCCTGAGGTCATCACTCAGACCGGCTCTGGATGTGAGGACGACAGGAACAGTTCACCTTTGGACGTGGGGGAACACTGTTTACCAGAGGATCGAAGGATCAGTAAGTTTAGCTTTTCTTTGCACTCCTGGACAAAATGAGCAGTTAACCCATACAGTGCGGACACAGCCTGCCTGCAAGGGAAAATAAAAATTTTGCCCAGAGTTCTGTTCATTTCAGAGCATGAGGTCTTCTGAATGCATAGCTACAGTCTCAAAAAAAAGAAAATGTAATAGAATACAAGACATCAGTAAAACAGATTCCTAATTTAAAGACTTAAAGTGATTCTGAAGTTTCTTTTTTTTTTTTTTGGAAAATAAAACATGGCTATATTTACCTGCTGTGTGCAGTGGTTTTGCACAGAGCAGTCTGGATCCTCCTCTTCTTGGGTCCCCCACAGGCTCTCCTGTCCACATCCTCCTGTCAGGTGCCCCCACAGCAAGCGGCTTGCTATGGGGGCACCTGCTGCCCCGTGTGTCCATTCACACATGGAGCAGCGGTTTGGCCCCGCCCTCCTCACTCGTCATTGACTGTGATTGATAACAGTGGGAGCCAATGGCTCCAATGGCTCCCGCTTGCTGTCTCAGCCAATGAGGATGCAGAGACCCAGCACAGCCAAGGATGTCATTTATATCTCAGGATTGCGATGGGCCTCAAGTATTGAGGTTGCTGGGGGCACTGCTGCACACAGAAGGTTTTTTACTTTCATGCATAGAATGCATGAAGGTAAAAGATCTTCAGCCTTTACAACCAAGCTCATTTACATCAAGTTTGATTGTTTTGTTGTTCATCGCCCTACACAGCTGATATCCCCTTGTCTTTTACAATCATTGTAATAAACATTTAGTTGACAAAAATTGTAAAGGCTTTATATTTTAGAATGCAAAAATAGAAAATGTTATATTGTTTGCTATAGGTAAGAAGACAGATGTGACAGTGGCTGAAGGCATGGCTGATTATGTCAGGTGAGGGATAGTATAGGCAAAGTTTCAGCCACAGGCTGTGCCTTATGATTTGTATTTCCTGATAGTGCTGCACAGTTGGGTAGGTGGTGGCCCACCAGAGGCATCGAGAATAAGAGCACTCACGGCACACATTAGCAGAAAGTGGGTGGGTGTGTTGTGGTCAGGGGTCTGGTCAGAGACCAGTAGAATAAGTACACAAGCAGGTCACGCTGAGGGATGATGCGGGCTCACCTGAGGCACTAACCGCTATTCACCAGAGCTCCTGATGGTGGTAGTGGGTTTTGCTGTGTGTCAGGTCATGATCCTCAGGCTTATCCCACCAGGAGGTGAGAAAGCCGGGCTCTAGTATCAGATATAGCAGGTAGGGATCAAGCAGAAGCGTAGTGAGTAAACAAGCCAATAGTCAGTAACAAGTGGTTGCAGTTTGGAATCAAATGGAAGTGTAGTTGAGGAACAAGCCAAAGGCCAGTAACAAATGGTTGCAAGTTGGGATCAAACAGAAGCATAGTCAATGAACAAGGTTGGTAACAAGTGGTAGTAAAGATA